TGGATTATAAATTTAGCTAAGAACACCTTCGTACTTCGTGTCACCCGTGGTGGGCCACTGTACAGTGACATGTTCTCTGGCTGTGGCAGGTTTACAGCATGTGGGCCTGACCTATAGCATGGCAGATTCCTGCTGCCATACACAGAGGTGTCTCCAAGTTTTCAACCCATGCAGCAATCTGTATGACAGATTTAGCTTTTGCTAGTACAGACAAGAAAAAGGTTTCTGGGCTACACTCTGCTTCGTGGAGACATAGACACACTGTTTCTCAGAGTTGGCGGTAGGCAAATCTGAGGTGGGTGGAGTCAGCAGCCAAGGCTGCCACTTTTTGTCCTAGCCATGCAGTTTAACAGTTTAAAATCTCTCCTGGTCAGAGAAGGACTATAGATTCACAATGAGACAGATTCAGATGGAATAAAACTCTAAATGATTTACAGTGTGTGTAAAATTGTACATAGGCTTGGAAGAGAGAGAAAAAGAAATATATACAGTTATATAAAGAAAGAGATTGTTTTAAAAATAAAGTCTTTAAAGAGACAGTAAAAGTAGTGTAAAAGTTAAGCCATGCAAAAATGGAGATCGTACAGAGAGTCTGGATTATATTGTCTTTGGGATTTTTAACTGCAGGAAGACATTTGATTGTAAAAGCTGCTGAGTTAAACAAATATATGTATTTTAAAGGCATCTTGACTTCAAAATTTTTGTCTTAGGATACGTTGCTTTGGAAAAGAGGTTCTGCTTTTGTTTCCACAGAAGATGAGAATATGTAGATTGCTTCTAGGCTAATATGGTTTGATCAGCCAAGACCAGCTGAGAGGTCTCCAGAAGATCCAACATCCAGAACAGCTCCAAGGCAACTGTCTCAGAGAATCACAGACTACTCAAGTCAGGACTTGCTCATAATTCTTATTTTTCTCAGGATCCCCATAAGACTGCAGCACCCCCAACCAGCAGGAAGTAGTATAAGAAGCTATGCTCAAGTTCCCAAAATATTGTTTATGAATGTTTATTTTTATTTAAAGCAGGTGGATTATAAATTCAATTTCTTTCTAAAGGAGAAAAGTGATGATATTGTAGATATGATAGGATGAAAGGGTAAATTATTGAATCTACATTTAAAGAGCACCAACTTGTTTGAAATGTTTTACAATGTTATGAATTTTAGTTTATTCATATAATTTATAGTTAATTTTGTTATACTGTATGTGTATTTCTACTCTTGTTTAAGGTATTGTGTTTGTGCACTTCATTTGAAATGGTAATGTATAATTAAAAATACAGATTAATAATTAGTCATCCATAATAATCAAACTTATAGTCATGTTAGTTAAGTTTTCTAGGTATACATAGATATATTTCAGTTAGTTAGATAATCTTCAAACACTTCAAAGACCTACAGAATATGACCCTTAAAATATTTTATAAACTTAGACTTTATGGACAGTGACACAGGTCTGCTTCCAGCAGCACTGATTTACTTCAAGCAGGAAGATGGGCATCAAAAATACTCCATATGGAGTTTATCTTCTTCTTCTTGGCAAAAATAGCCATTTAGGCAAGAAACAGCTCTTACCTGGACTGCTGATAATATGTTGTATAAACTGAACATATAGGACTCATAGAAAAATGACAGCTGTATTTGCTAAAACAAGGCAAAATGGTCCTTCAGATTTCTGCTTCACAGAGGAGACTGCCAGACATTCTGCAGGACACAGCGAGAGGCAACTAAAGAACTCTAGGCCTATTGGCTGAAGATGGATGCCCTAATGTTACAGAGGTATACTTTGGATGACTGTCCAGGAAGGCAGCTGTCTCTGACATTTCCAGAATTTTGGAAGTTCCTTACTATGCATTTTCTGTTTACTTAGGTAATATTATATCCTTATGGGGTCTTTGATGTATTTGAAGACTAGACAGCTACAGTTTTCCTTAGTGTTGATAAAAGATAGATTAGATATGAAACTTTTGACTTACAAATATAGGATAGATGATAAAATATTTTCAGTAATTTTGCCAAATACAAATAGACTAGATATTGTAACTGTAATTCTTGCTTGATAATTATTCTACTATGTGTAATTTTACTATATTAAAGTTAAAACCTTCCTTTTTGCTTTTTGATTAGACAGAAAAAGGGAAGTTCTGTGGGATGTCTTTCTGTATGCTGTGAATATGTGTTGTTCTGACTTGTTAATAAATAAGCTACTTTGTCCTATGGCAAGGCATCTTACAGGCAGGCGGCAATTTAAGGAGAGAGAGACAGGAAAGAGAAAGGCAGAGTCTGAAGGGACACCAGCCTGCCACCCAAGGAACAACATGTCAGCAGACAGGTAAGCTACAGAACAGGTGGCAACTTATAGATAAATAGAAATGGATTAAGTTACAAGAGCTAGCTAGCAAGAAGCCTGCCATAGGCCATGCAATTGGTAATTAATACAAGCCTCTGAGTTATTATTTTATAAGCAGCTGTGGGACTGCGGGCCAGGCAGGACCATAGAAATTTCTGTCTACATCCATTGTAAGATATTATCTTCTCTCTGCATTAAAATTCCTGTAGGGGAATGCATAGAAAGCAAAATAATGTGAATTAAATCAAGCTCTGTATCCAAATAATCCACCTGTGTAACTTGTACTTTCTTTTCTATCAGCTTCAGCTGGCAATTTTCTCAGACTATTTAAGTCCTTGTCATCTTGTAAAGTTTGAAACAAATTACTCAGTTCTTGAGTTGTTAATCCAATTGTGGGCTATAGCCAGTTAATGTCTCCCAGCAAATTTGATAGGCATTAGAAGTCTGCAATTGATCTCTCCTAATATGTATGTTTTGGAGTTTAATTTTTTGTATACCTATTTTATATCCTGGGTAATTAATAAATTCTCCTTTTTGTATTTTTTCAGGAGCAATTTGTAATCCCCAACAAAGCAAACTTTTCTTTACTTTTTCAAACATTTTCTCTAAAGTATCTACATTTGAATCAGTTAGTAAGATATTGTCCATATAATGATAAATTATAGATTGAGAAACCTGTATACAAATCATTTCCATAGGCTGTCATACAAAATATTGATACAGAGTGGGGTTGTTTAACATCCCTTATGGGAGAAACTTCCATTGATATCTCCTAAGAGGCTGAGAATTATTATAAGTAGGCAACATGAAGGCAATTTTTTCTCTATAGTTTTCTTGTAAAAGTATAATGAGGGAACACTCTTCTAAACCAATAACTATAATAGACAATCCCTTAGGTAATAGAGAAGGTAGGGGAATTACAAGCTGTAAAGAGCCCATTGGCAGAATCGCCTTATTAATAGCTCTTAAATATGTTACTCTTCTCCATTTTCCCACATTTCTTCTTAATAACAAATGCAGGAGAATTCCAAGGACTATTTGATTCTTCAGTATGTTGAACATTTAACTGCTCCTGTACCAGCTGTTCTAAGACCTGTATTTTCTGATGTCAAAAACCAGTGTTCTACCCAAAAAGGTTTGTCAGCAAACCATTTTAAAGTTCGGTCTGTTGGTACCTTTGAGTGATCAACAACTGTTGTGCCCTGTTTTTGTACGACCTAAATGGTCAGTGAATGTTCTTTATAATACCTTTTAATGTTGTCCCAGAAACAAACATTAGTTTGTGGTTTGTTTCTGAGATTGGAAGAATGTTAATCTGGATATTCTGTTGCTTTAACAAATCATGTCCCCATAAATTCATTGCTATATTAGCCATATATGACTTTAATTTTCCTATCTGTCCTTCAGGCCCTATGTATTTGACCCATTTCATGCTTTGTTTTACCTGAGATAAAGTTCCAATCGCAAAAAGCTGAACATTTACTTCCTGAAGATGCCAATTTTGATGCCAAGATTTGGGTGCAATTTTTGTTACATTTGCCCCTGTGTCTACAAAACCTTTAATTCCAATAGCTTTGGTCTTTGATCACTTATGACAATCTGCCAAAATACTCTCTTTATGGTATCTCCTGAAATTTTTGTTTTATATTCTAATGCCGATATATCATCCAAAACAGTATGGTATTTTACAATAGCCATTAGGTACTTTAATTGTTTGGGGGAGGAGTTTCCCCCACAGTGATAGGGAATGACTGAACCAAATTTGACAAGGGAGCCTGTAAGAGGCCCCCGAGGTGTTTCCTAATCGCAAAGCATTACCCTGTCTGTCATTTGTTGATCGGCATTCATTGGTTCAATGTCAGCTTTTGCTGCACCTTCTGCATACTCCAGAATGCAGAGACCTTCTGTTTGCATTATTCTTAGAAAAAACATTGCTTCTGGAAATGCCCCATCTACAGACCCTTTTTTTTTTCAGATTTCCAGATTTTTATTTCTGGAACTGTACACCAGGTATTAAAGTACAACAAATGCAAAATAATGCTCAAAAAATCAGTGGTTATGTACAAATATTAAAATCAATGCAACAATAGCAACTTCCTCTTGAACATTGGATACTAAAACTTGTTCTGATTGTCACTAATTTATCTCATACTCACAGAGTACTTATTTCAAACTGGGACAATTAGAATCACTGGTCATCTAAGAGGAATATTAACATCTACCATATTTAACAATAAAACTAATAGTTTCCCTCCTTTTAGTGAAAAAATTAGGAACTTTTTAAAAAACATAGTAATGTCAATATTTTATAAATTATTTCAATTTCCATTCGTAGACAATGTGCTTTGAAACTCTGGGCAAACAATCTCCTTGGTGGTTGGGTTTGTTAGTTTACATTCAAAGTTGAAATATTTACTAGACTTTGGTTAAATTAAATAGTACTACTACTCTATTAGGTCTGATGTTCTCAAAGCAATTGGAGCGAAGCTATGTCTTGCACTTTTTGGCAGCTGCCTGGGAGCACTCGGCTCCGCCCCCTCTGTGCCCTGTTGCCTGTGCTGCCTGCCTCCTTGCCTTGCTATGCGATTCAACCTCACAGTTTTCTTTCTCTCTCTCTCTCTCTCTCTCTCTCTCTCTCTCTCTCTCTCTCTCTCTCTCTCTCTCTCTCTCTCTCCCAGGCTTCTTTTGGAAGTTCGAGCCCAGTTGGGTCTCTGTCTTCTGAGGATCATGATTTTGACCCCACTGCTGAGATGTTGGTCCATGACTATGACGACGAAAGAACTCTTGAAGAAGAGGAAAGGATGGATGAGGGTAAAAACTTCAGTTCTGAAATTGAAGACTTGGAAAAGGAAGGAAATATGCCTTTAGAAGACCTACTGCCATTCTACAGCTATGAATCTACAATTCCGACGGTTACAAATTCCAGTGCCAACAGCCCCCCAAGTGAACTTGCAGATGAACTACCAGACATGACTCTAGACAAAGAAGAAATAGCGAAAGACCTGTTGTCGGGTGATGATGAGGAAACCCAGTCTTCTGCAGATGATCTGACACCGTCCGTGACTTCTCATGAAACTTCGAATTTCTTTCCTTGGCCTTTGTGATCAAATACTTCCTGTGATGGAGATAAGGAGTCAGAGATTGAGGATGTTGAAACGGACAGCGGTAACTCACCTGAAGACTTGAGAAAGGAAATAATGATCGGTTTACAATATCTGGCAGAAATCCCCCCTTATCTTGGCGAGTACAGTGGTGAGGAGAAAGCATATGAAAATGAAAACCAGTTACTGTGGCATCCTGATGTGGTTTTGGAGAGCAAAGTCAAGGAGTACCTTGTTGAGACATCGTTAAGAACTGGAAATGAAAAAGTCATCGACAGAATTTCTTCAGGCACACACACCAGGGACAATGAACAGGCATTATATGAACTTCTCAAGTGTAACCACAACATAAAGGAAGCAATTGAAAGATACTGCTGTAATGGAAAGGCATCTCAAGAAGGAATGACAGCATGGACAGAAGAAGAATGCCGAAGTTTTGAACATGCACTCATGCTTTATGGAAAAGATTTTCATCTTATACAGAAAAATAAGGTGAGATCTAGAACCGTTGCTGAATGTGTGGCCTTCTACTACATGTGGAAGAAATCAGACCCTTTTTATGTTTTTTTTTTTTTTTTTTTTGGTTTTTTGGTTTTTCGAGACAGGGTTTCTCTGTGTAGCTTTGCGCCTTTTCCTGGAACTCACTTGGTAGCCCAGGCTGGCCTCGAACTCACAGAGATCCGCCTGGCTCTGCCTCCCGAGTGCTGGGATTAAAGGCGTGCGCCACCACCGCCCGGCCAGACCCTTTTTAAATGACCTTGTTTGTCACAATTAAAACACTTCAAACTTTTATTTTTCTTCAAACCTCTGGAAATCACCTCTCCTATCCAAACATCATCATGGTTATCAGATTCAAAAATGACTGTATCTTGGATCCATTCCTCTATAGATGCTGATCTTGCCTTTAAAGGCCTAATCATAGGGATAGTTATCTATGCTTAATCTCTGAAGCACCAACCCTAGTAGGCAGCATGTAACTGCCAGGTACCTGCCCTCTTCCAGGGCATGGCTGAGACAGGGAGCCCTTAAGACCAGAGATGTGTATGAGCTCACTCTCTCTTGGCTACCTCATGATCCTGGGTACTGCATGATGAACTGCAGACCAAGACAGAGTTCTCCAGAGAACCACGTTGGACTGCACCTCACCTCTCCTGGATCCCTTAACTGAACCCTTTGTTACTGTAAGTTTTCCCAAAATAAACCTGTTTTGACTACCAGATAAACTACATGGAATTGCCTCATTAATTTCTTCTGTAACTAATTACCCTTTTGCATTGTGAACTAGCATTTTTAAAAACCAAAGATTCAATTATTATTTGCCTAGCTTCTGAATTTGGTATCATTCCATTTATGTCTGAAGTCAATCTTTGTAAAAAAAAATCAGTGATGACCTCCCATGGGGAGGTGCATTTAGTAGAGGCAAGTCCAAGACCTTCCCCTGCCTCAAGGCTGTGTGAAGTGTCCCATCATAGGTAGTGGGCTCCAAAAAACCTGCTCATGCACCAGGGATAGATGGATTGAGGCTAGAATGGCAGGAGAAGGGAAGAGGGGGATCTTGGATTGGCATGTAAAATGAATAAAATATATCAGTGATGGTTTATTTTGAGCCCTGTATAACTTTAGTAAAAGACTCAGTTCTCTTTCTGTCTTCTTCAATTCTGTCCCAACATTCAAAGCTGCTGCACAGCATAGAGCCAAAGTGTGGACATCATATATAGATTGTCTTTGTACATCCACATAATAGCCCTCTGCAAGAAGTTGGTCTTGGGAGATTTCAGTACCTCTGACCATACTTTACTGCTCAATGGTTCTAGCCTCATCTTTGTATCAGGTCCTCCACTGTAATTGAGGACCAAGTTCCAATGCTGCTGTAACCAAATCTTTCCAGTCTTGTGGGACAATTCTGTTACTAGTTGACCATGAATTTAAATCTGCTTCACAAAAGATGAATATACACCATGTGCGACTATTGCTTCCTTAAATCTCCTCAAATCTAATATTTCCACAGGAGTTCAGTCACATCTTATGTAGCCTTGGGGATACCTATCATTTGGCAATTGTTCCCATAAGGAGACTGAATGAATTAAGGTTGGTTGTTTGATAACCTTGGGCCATTCCACTCTAATTTTATAGTGCCATAATGAGGTTGTCTCGCCTTGAAATTCCTCTGTCGGTGTCTGAATATCTCTATTATCTGTTTTAATAAGTTTTTCTTACTCTTGTGACTTTTGAGTAGCTAGCTTTTCTAAGGTTTGCTTATTATCAATCACCTTTTTGCTCTCTTCAGCAGTAAATATTTCTAGAACTTTTATATTATCAGCCAAAATTGTATTAATCTCCTTAATCTTTTTGATCGTGTCAGCAATAAATATTTCTAGATCACTATCTCCTTAGCTTTTTTTTTGCTCTAGTCAGCAGTAAATCTTTCTAGAGCTTTTAATTTAACAGTCAAACTTGTGTTATTCTCCTTAGTAATGATGTGTAAGGTTTGCATGTTATCACTAATAATTTTTTCTAAGGATTGTAGCTTTTGAATAGTAACTTTTTCTAAGGTTTGCATATTATCAGTAGTATCATTATCTAAGGCTTGTATCTTGGCACTCATATCAACCAACATTTTTAGAGATATGCAAGAATTATCAAACTGATAATCATTATAATTAACATTATGTAAGTCACAGCTAAAATATTTCCTCATTTAATTGTTCCATTTTTAAGCCATCCAATGTGTAATCATACAGAGACCTAACTCTCTCCATGCCCCTCAACTGAAGAATGAATTAAGAAAATGTGGTAAATACACACAGTGGTGTATTACTCAGCTGTAAAAAACAATAACATCATGAAATTTGCAGGCAAGTAGATGGAACTAGAAAATATCATCCTGAGTGAGGTAACCCAGACTCAGAAAGGCAAATATGCTATGTAGTCAATCATAAGTGGATACTAGATATAAAGCAAAGGATAATCAGACTACAACCCACAGCTCCAGAGAAGTTAGGAAACAAGGAGGACCCTAAGAGGAATGCATGGATAACCTTGGGAAGGAGAAACAGCTGAGATCTCCATGAATAAACTAGGGAGTAGAGGGGGGGTTGGGGGATGAGAACATGAGATAACCAGATGCTTGAGCTGGGGAACAGATGGAGTGGGAGAGCAATAAAAGACGTATCTTGCAAGATAAAGGGAGACATTATGGGGTAAGGGAGAAAGATCCACTATCTGATGGAAGCAGATGCCAGGACTCACAAACAAGCACCAGCTGAGCTTCGGGAGTCCAGTCGAAGAGAGCAAGAGGGATTATATGAATACAGTGGCTCAATATCATGATGGAGAAATCTATAGAGACAAATAAACCAAGCTCTCAGGAACTCACAAACTTTAGACTGACAGCTGTGGAACCTGAATGGGACTGGACTAAGACCTCTGCATACAGGAGACCTTTGTATAGCTTGGTCTGTTTGAGGATCCCCTGGCAGTGGATTCAGGATCTATCCCTGGTGCATGAGTTATCTTTCTGGAGCCCATTACCTATGGTGGGATGCCTTGCTCAGCCTTGATGCAGAGGGGAGTGGCTTGGTCTTGCCTCAACTAAATGTACCAGGCTTTGCTGACTCCCCATGGGAGCACCTACACTTTTGGAGGAGGGATGGGTGTGATTCTGGGGGAAAGGTTGAAGGTTAGCAGGAGGAGAGATGAGGGGTGATCTGTAGTTGGTATGTAAAGTGAATAAAAAAATCCTAAATAAAAGCTAAATTAACTAATTAAAAAAGTATTCTCAATTGTCTCACCAAATCTTCTGGTGAAGATGGTGAATTGTGAGGCATAGCATATCTGAGCAGAGAACACAGTTGGTGAACAGCCTGGCTGGGGACAGCAGGCACTGATTGAATGTCAGCAGCCTGAGGAGGGGGTCCAGGGAAAGACCACAACCCACTGGGGAAAAGAAGCCAAAGGGCCAGCCATCTGTTTGGGAAACGTGCAAAAGCAGCTAACTCTAATGGCATATGGAACCCAAGATCCTGTGGCATTTGGTGTAGAGAGGCTTTAACAGAAAAATCCCAGACTTGCTCATAGGGCTTGGGGGGAAAAAAAGTAAAACTAAGCTGGCAGGATGGTGACTCCAACAGTGTACAGCTGACTGCAAAACAATGGGCAAGGACATTTATCATGGATTCATGCCCCAAAAGTTGGACGTCAGAAGAAGCATAAGTCTAATTAATCTTACAAATAAAAGCAGGAGTCAGATCTTATGGTAATAACCTGAAAGATCAGAGAAACAGGTGAGCAGCCACCAGTGACCTCCTACCTCTCCAGAACCTCTGACCAAAAAGGCTTAGATCACATCTCATCCTTACATTATCATTTCCTGTCTCTACTTCTCAAGAGCTGGGATTAAAGACATGAGCCTCATTGCCCAGCTTCTATGGTTATCTAGGGAATAGCTCACCTCTCTGTTTTCCAGGCAAGCATCATTTGTCAGAACACAAATTATCACACAAAAGAACTCAGTGGTATTTTAATATGTTTTATTTCATTTTGCTTTGTTTGAGCAATTATTTTACTTTTTTTGTCATATATTTTACTTTCCATTATTGTGTTTGAAAAGACTTTGGTGTTGTGGTTCTTGTTTGTTTGTTTTTAAATAGATGGAGAGAAAATATATAAAGTTAGCAGGATAGCAATGTTGGGATAATCTAAGAAATTGGGAATGGAAAAACATGATCAAAATATGTTGTATGTAAATTTTTCAATAAAAGACAACTAAAAAAATGAATATTATATGTCTTAGGAACCAAGATAAAGGCAACTTGTTAATGGTGTGTGATATCTTTGACATATAACTTTATTGGTTTTGTAAGTGTTTTTACTGAGAATATTATCACCTGTATTCCTCATAAATGTAGGCATGTAGTTTTCCTTTTTACTTGTGTTGCTGGATGGTTTTGGTATTAGCTTGTGCAGAAGAAGCTTGCTATTGATCTTTTTTCTTTCTATTAATTTGGATTATTTTCTTTTTTTAATCAGAGGTTTTTTATTACTGTTTTTTGTTTTAAAATAGATTTTTTTCATCCTGATCACAGTTACCCCACTCTGCACATCTCCCACGTCCCCCACCATCTATCCCTTTTCCCATGTCTACTCTGTCTCTATTCAGAAAAGAACAAGCCTCCTCAAGATAACAAACAAACGCCACTAAACAAAATACAATAAGACAGGGCAAAAGCCCTCACACTGAGGCTGGACAAAGTAACTCAAAAGGATGAAAAAGGCCCTAAGAGCAGGTGAATGAGTCAAAGATGAACCTGCTATCATAGGTAGCATTCCCAAAAACACTTGCAAAATTCCAAGCTAACACTCACAACATATAACCAGAAGACCTAGTACAAACCCCTGCAGGGCCTGTGCTTGCAAGCTCAGTCTTAAGGAGCAGCTAGAACTAGAGAGATGACTCAGTGGTTCAGAGCAGGGCTGCTCTTCCCAGAGGACCACGGTTCAATTCTCAGTGCCCACAAGAGAACTCACAATGGTTTGTAACTCTAGTTCCAGAGGATCTAACACCCTCACATGGACATGCATGCAGGCAAAAATACCAATACACATAAAATAAAACTAAATAAATCATTTTAAAAATTTTACAGCAGCTATTGTTCCTATGGCTACAATTACCCAAACATCTAGTAGTGATGGACCAGGTGATTTCTTCAATCTTCTCACCTTACACAGAACATCTACAGAACACAGACATTTATTGAGGTTGTGATATGTGTCAGGTACTGGGCCTAAACATTACATGGCTTTGCATAGATGATTGACATTCCTCATGTGATCAACCCAACCAACGGTCAGTTGGGTCACAAGAAGGATTTTTTAGGGGAATTCTCAAAGTGCCTGGTCTGTTAAAAGGCAGTTTACTGTGGTTTAGAGAAATGTAGGTTCATGCAAGGAGGGCAGTTTAAACCCTTTCCGAGGGTCTCAGGTTTGTGAAAGTGGATGTAGCTATGTTTTAAGTCCTGACTTCAGGAGAACTAGTTAACATACATCACGGCAGCTTCATAAGTCCGTTTAGGCACCTCCTGCCACGCCTCAGTGTGTAGTCTTTAGGCAGAATACTGGACTACCGTGCCTGGGCTCTGGGGTTCAATTCCCACTTTCCCTTTCCTTTTTTCATGAGCCCCACTTTCTCCTGATCGTTGGTTTTGCTCATACATTTCACTCTTCTGGCCTCCTGTATTTGGTTCCCTGAGCCAGGTGAGAGGAATGGGAGGAAACAGAGGAGAAAAAGCCATACTTTTAGACCTTACAAATTTTATCTCATGTCACCTTTTTTTCTGTTTTGTTTTGTTTGTTTTTCAAGACAAGGTTTCTCTGTGTAGTCTTGGCTGTCCTGGTACTGGCCTTGTAGATCAGGCTGGTCTCAAATGCATAGAGATCCTCCTTGCCTCATTGCCTCCTGAGTGCTCACATCAGTGTCATTCCCCACCACTGCCCCTGCATGATACTGACATTTTAAAAACAAGTTTCATAGATGGAGATATTATGAGCTACAATCGAGAGATTGTTTTATAAAAAAACTTAACCAGTTGTTTGGAGAGGTCATGAATATCCAATGAATGAGCTGAAAGTCAGAATGGAGACCTAGAAACTGTGAAATTGAGGCATGACGTGAGGAATAATGGTGTGCTGTGTGTATATGTGTGTGTGTGTGTGTGTGTGTATGTGTGTGTGTGTGTATGTGTGTGTGTGTGTGTGTGTGTTGAACCTGTATTAAGTATCTTTCTTCTTCTTTTTGATAAACAATTTTATGTTAACTATTTGTACCCTACTGTCCTTTATTTAGAAGTATAGTGTTCTGAGTCTTAGGTCTGTGGAAATGGGTTTAGCTAGGTTATCAGTCATGACTTCACTAGTACTCTTTAGACTGGGTCATAGTCTTTTTTTATGCCATTTGAGAGGATGCAACGCCCCCTGGGAATGTAGCTTAGGGGCAGAGTTCAGAGTTTCCCTGTAGAAGAACTTTAGGTTCCATTCCCAGTGTTCCATTCCCTTCACTGCCCGGTTTCCCTGCTTTTCTGAAGTTGTATTTA